TAGACAGATAGGCGCCAATGGATGACCATTGATCATGATAGCCAGGCTTAGCTAAGTGCATCCCCCTTTGGGAGCTGTCTTTTATCAAACCTTAAATCAGCCTGCATGGTTTATCTGTGGCTGCACCACAGAGATGAACAGAGAAATGAGGCCTAATTTGGGAAATCTCAGAAACACTTAATTCTGCCTTATTAATAAGCCTCACCACTACATTAAGCTTCTACACTAGAACAATTCTTAGAATTATTACAATAGGCATATTTTGTTTCTGCAGGCTCCTAGCCTCACAAACATTGGTTAATGCTGGAGATTGTGCTCTGCTGAACATTGTACACAGAGAAAGAATTTAACCTTTAAACTCAAACAGCACCCCTGTTGTCATGGTGAGGTGACTGGTAAAATTTACTGACCCTGGGTGTTTAGCTGCTCTTTGAGTTGTTATTTATGTTGTAGATCTGCTATGCTTTATGCTGTTCTGTATAAACGGGTGGACAATATGGGGCCAATGAACCTGTTGGACAGACTGAAAATGAAAACACTATTTATACCCTTTGAGGAGAGCTGTATGAATAAAATGAAAGGAAGGAAAAATGTATGAATTAGATATGATGGATTTGGGAGGGGAGGGGAGGGGAGGGGGTTGTGGAGGGGCAAAAGAAGACTAAAAAAATAAATATGTTAAAATATTGTCTGCATTCCATTCTTTCAGTTTTAAGACGATGGTATGGCCCTTACTTACTTGACTTATTCAGTGTTCCTTCTGAACCGGTACAATTTCTCCACAGCCTCTACCATCGGCTCAGTCACGGCGCTAGTTTCAGTGGCTTATCTGATCCTGAAAAGCACACAGTAGCATTTCTTGAAGAGATTTTATTTGATAATATTTTATAATCACAAAACTGAGCAGAGCAGGTGATAAGTGATGTGTGCTTCGATTTAAAAATAGCTTTACATGAAATATTGCACTGATAATAATATATATTGTAACGCTTACGGCCGCGGGCTCGACCAGATGCGGCAAGGGGGCCCGCCTGAGCTCCCGTTGCGTTACAATATTATAGTGTTCTGCAAGAAAAACGTGGAAATAAATTTTCATTTTCACAATTCACACTAACTGCATAACTCGCAAGCGATTCACTCCTCCTGATTAGGTGTCGCTACCAGCTGCAGTCAGGTTTATATCGGCTGCAGAAATACATCGTTCTCAACACCGTTCCTCGGTTGTTTTGATGCTGTGACAGCGCTAACGAATGACGTCATCATGCCGCGCGGCTAAGCAGATATTTCACTCACGTGGCGGTTGCTTTAGCTAAATCGTTAAGTAAAGTTTTTTTTTTTTACTACGCTACGATTTGTCGGCTGTGTTTATGCTTTAACAGATTACAGGCCTGAATACAGGATCTACGAAAAATAAAAATAAAGAAAAAAGTTTTTGCGTTTAAACGCCGCAATTTAGCCGTTGTTTCCGACCGACTATGAAGAAAGATGGCAGAGTGTTTGTTGAATCTGCAAACTGAGCTTCACTCTTTCATGCAGGTTTTGTTCAAATCGATCGTGTATGAAGTTTCGGAAGTTTTCAGAAACAGGGTATCAGACACCGAGGACGAGTTTCAAGACAAACTCCGCAGCGTTTCCCAGATCCTGGTGAGACGGGCCGTGTTTAAAATCACACCGTGTGTGGAGGACTGTGTCGGGAGTGAAATGGCGGAGCTGAAGAAGGAAAACGAGAGCCTGAAGTGGAGATTGCAACTTTGGGAGAAGAAGTCGGGAGAAGCAGGAGATCAAGGACTGACGGATCATGTTGGACACACGCTTCTCTGTGAAGTCGCTGCAGAAATAAAAGAAGAAATGGACACGAAACCGGAGCTGTCAGGTCAGTGTGGTGACTTGTATGAAGTCAGTGTGTGTTTAAAAACCGGTGTCACTAGTGAGAATATAGTGGAGAGATACAGAGTGAAGTGGGAAAGACTTGTGTGATGTAGCAACGGGATTCTTTACTGGAAACTGACCTGTTGTTCTCCGAATATGGTGCCAAAAACAACTCGTTCAGATTCAGCATCTGTTTCTCTAAATCAGTGTGTAATCCGACGTCATTAGGAAATATATAATATTGTATTTATATTATAATTATTGTGTTATATTTGTTTAGATGTTATATTTATATGAATAGGTTTAAACATTCCAGTCCACCAGGGTCTATCTATTAAGTCAGTCAGTGCAGTGTTAATGTACTGGAGTATTCAATCAGTGTGTCTGTATTAACCCCCTTTCTGTTAGTACTTTGTTCATGTACTGTAGTGTCCAGTTATTGTGTCTGTATTAACCCCTCATTCTCAGTACAGTACTGAATTGTTGTTGTCCAGTTATGGTGCTGAAAATATCTGTAATTGCAGAGCTGAGAACACATCATTTAGACTGACTCCATATCATTCAATGACTCAGATAAAAAATGATGAGCTACTGTATTTACATAATTGTTGTGGGAAAACTTTGGTATCTTGCTTGTTTAGTTGTTTATCTTTGGAATATCCTCCTTACTTTTAATATAATTTTGGCCATACGTTTTTCCAGTGATTTAGGTTTTACAAAAGCAAATAAAATCTGGAAATAAATGGAAAATTGTAAACAGGATAAAAGTGGTCGATCAGTCAACATATATTTCCAGTTTTATGATTTCTAGCGGTCAGGGGTTTGAGGCGCAGGATCAAGTGAATATTGGATTGTCTCTTCGTGAGCTGCAGCATATTGGGGTGTTGGAAGTGTGTAGACTGTGTGCTGTATGAGTAGTGTCGTTGATTTGGAAGGAATTGAAAGGACAAACTGTTCCCAGGTTTTTTCTCTTGGTGTGTTTGTGCTGCACTGTCTGGCCAGTGTTGTCTGCTCTTACTGTTGAGTTGAGTACCAGCACTGCAATGTGCACTGTTTTCTTCCTGACCTCTTTGGATTAAGCAAAGAGCAGAATGTGTATGAGTCTTCTAGAGAGAGTCATTTCCTCTCAGTTGAATTCACTGCTCTATCCAGTACAGGGTCACGGTAGAGCCTGACTCTATTCCAGCATACAAGTGGCACAGTGTGGGATACACTGGGACAGGATACCAGTTCATCACAGAATATTGTTGACACCAATTGTTACAAATAGGGGGTTTTAAAATTAGAGGAACAGCCTGAAATGGCCCAGAGGGTAAATCAACAATTATGTGACTATATCCCCCTTATATAGCAATAATTAGATTGACAAGCACTTCAGTTCTTTGTGCTCTTACTCAGAAAAGAGACATAAGTAAGACACACTAGGCTAACAGATTTTATTAACAATGACAAAACACACACTAAACTACACACACAGTAAACATACAACATGCACGTTATGCAGTTTATAAATAAGGTGACCAAGAGGCCCACCTCCTATTTACCCAGAAAAACCTGTTTCTATGTATTCAACTCTTAAATAGCTCCTACAAAGACCAAAAGAAGAGATCTACTGCCTTCTAAACTATAAACTGTCACGATTGAAGTCCCTCGCCCTAAGGGCTCTTTCACTTCTGACCTTATTTTGTGCACCTGCCCCTTGTTCTAGCCTCCTTCCAGCCCCCCTTAAAAGCCAGACACTGACGTTAATCCAGGCTCTGCTCTGGTTTCCGCACCAGGCAAGTCCGGGACCTGGAAGTGCCTGGTCCCGTTAAGGTTTTATTTTCTGTTCCCGTTTCCCCTGCTGGTTCCGACCCGGTTCCTGTTTTTAATCTCCTGTTTTGGATGGATCACCTGGCCATGGACTTTTGCTCTGTTTTTGGATTCTCCTTTGGACTTCTTCCTGGATTGTTTGCCTCGGCCACACCTCCCCCGAACACCAGCGCACCAAGGACATGCCCCCTGTTTTCATCCCCGTATCCTGCATTACTTTTCCCCCCATGTTTTCTTCACTTTTCCCTGGATCGTGTCTTCCGCATAGGGTCTGAAAGAACTGTTTCATTACAAAAACAATGTTACCTGCAGTTAAATCTCTCTCCCCCTCTTAAATTACTGGCAATTTATCTGCTTATTCTCAAATCCACCCACTAATCAGGAGGTGTTTTTAACCAAGGCATTCTTTACATTGGTAATCAGAGATCTCTAAAAAATACAGAATAACAGGCTACCTTAACAAGGTTCAAATACTTGGCTCCAGTCTGGTCTTTCCAGGTGATCTGGAACAAGGAGCTCTCACCTTCATGTTCTCTTGTCTCCTCTGTTCTAATCTCTGTCCCTTTCTTTTATACTGTCTTCCTGGACTATTGATTTACACTTAATAATTTACCCAGAATTGAATTAACTAATGTAAACCAAGGTAAACTTTACAATTGCTTTGATCACTGAGTCTGGGGCTTCCACATCTCAGTGAGCATACCCTTTGCTGTGAAGCTTGAAATGTTACACGTTGTGTTTAGATTAATCTCAATGTTATTTAATCAAATTTGGTATTTGTGGTTATTTTAGAATCTATGCACTCCACTTTCCAAAGAATCAGGTTCAGATCATTTGTGTGTTTGGATCTTTGCTTTTGTTGGGGGTCTTAAATTTTTTTGTCATACCTGGACTGGGTCCAACCTGCGTCCTGCGGTTGCTAGGTGCAACGCGAGCATTCTCACATTCTCACCCTGCCATTCAAACACTTTTCTCTCAGACTGCCTGTTTTTCAATCAGGATCTCAGTCTAGATCTCAATCAGTTTAATCAGACTCCTTATTTCCCCTTCCTAACCCTCACTGTACCTGTTTAATTTTGCTGCCTCCTCCCACTGTGTAGTTTTTTTCCCACTGTAAAGAGCTTTGAGAAGCCCTTTTTAAAAGTCCTATATAAAATAGTTTTGTATTTTGTATTTATTATTATGATTCAAACCACTGTTGTTGTTATTGAGTGTCTTGCACTTGTGTTAGCATTCTCTTCCCTTTCTGCGAGTAAATTCAAAACCATCCTTTTCTCCTCTCATCATGTCAAGTAATGACTCGGTGGAAAATCATCCCCAGTCTCATTTTCTCCCACTGGTTATCTCTGTGCCTTTTTACCTTTTTTCTCCTTTTTGGTGAATCACCAGCTCACCTCTTTCTGTTTCAGCTGGGAGCCTCTCTGTAATTAAACAGTTCTGTATCAGACTGTCTCCCTCTGAATTCACTTTCTAAGCCATTCACAGCTTCTAGAGTTCAACCTTAAACATCACACTGAGGACTGTGCTTGGGCTTCAACCAATCACCATGCTGTTTTCACATTTAAACCTTGACGTGGTTATTAAAAGACTTTGCTGGTCGATTGCTGATTTGCTGATTGTTGCCGTTAATAGAGGTATATGATACCAACAATTTTAATGTGTGTTTAGAAAAATTGTTAATTCTGAGTGCTGTTTTTCTGTGTACTTGTTTGCAGTGTTAATTTAGTCTCCAGTTTTTGAATTAGTCATAGTCTTAGTCAAGTCAGTGAAAGTTTGTTAGTCATAGCTACCTTCTAGTCATCCATTTTTAATTTAGTCCAGTCAACTAAATGTTCACTATAATTGGTCTTACTTAATTAACTTAATTAAAGTGATTAAAACAAAATAGTTTAATCACATTTTAAGTTTACATTTTATTATACAAATAAATTAAAATAAAGGTATAATAAATACTAAATTGTAATAAATAATAAAATATGTACCTAAGAAAATATTTAACTTATTTTGAATTTGACGAAAAGCACAAGTTTTTGTTGCACAGTCTAAAGAGTTTTGATCCCCAGAAATATCAATGCAATAAGTAATTTATTTTTGATAATCTTATAGAGGGACGTCGTATGAATCTTTCCTAATAAGAACATGTATTTTGGCACTGTTAATAATTCTGTACTTTTCTATAAGTTTTGTGTTGAAATTGTTTTCGAAGGAAGTGTTTTCAAAATTTAAAAGCAACATTATTTTCAGTTTATTCAGTAAAGGCTTCCACCAATACTGAATTTGTAATCACTTTAGGGTAATTACTGCATGAATTACTTAAAATATTACCACAAAACAGTAAAAGTAATATACACATTCTTCATTGCACTGATATTATTAATAAATAGTTCTTTTGATGCCATAATAATTTAGTTGAAAAACTGACGTAGTAAGTTACACTTACACTGACGTGTAAGTGTTAATCATGCTGTGCTAGTATTATGTTAAGTATAAGTATTATGACAGGCTGTGTTTCAGTTTATCACAGTGCTTTTTAAAAGGCTGAGCAAACTATTTTTTAAAATAAAAATAAGATATAATGATGTGTTCCTGCCTAACTTAAACAATGCATGACTTTAAAAGCTATAAAAATTCGGTTTAGTTAAAAAACACTTTGTATGCGCCAGAAAATGGGCGATTTGTCTTCCTTATGATCAGCTTAGAAAATTTGTGTATGCTGTAGGTTTTTTTACTTTTTGATTAAATGTTTTAAATAATTGAATTTCATAAATGTAACACGCGTTTCTTACAGAAAAAATCACATTCTCTTCTCTTCCTGTGAATCAGATCATCAGGTCTTTTTTTCCCCAATCAGAGGCTTGGAACATAGCATACCACTCTCTGAGAGAGGGAGGTAGTACTGAGAGAGAGAGAGGAGGTGCGGAGCTCAGCAATGCCTCTCCCTGTTCAATCCACTGGAAAAAAGAAAAGGAGCATAAAGCGTCTGATGGTCATAAACGATATTCATTTAGGAACAGCATCAGAGATATGTTTTTAACTGCACTGCATCGTAGAGAATACTATAGTGTGGGTTTTTTTTTTATTCCCTGGGGGAAACTGGCTTCCATAAGAATCATTATGGCTCAGAGATTAAATATAACTTCACTCGCACCAAACAAATGTATATTTCTAAATATCACAACATGATCGAATTTA